TTTTTTTCATATTAATCCTTCGATATTTCATAACCACGTTGAATTTCGATTGATTCGGAATCAAATTACGTTAATCCTCATAAGAAAAAACTCTTCAATATTTTTTTCTCTATTAATAAGATTTGAAGTTAAAATTTTATTTAAAAAAAACTAAACTCTTTTTATTCAAATTAACAAGTCATTGACATATTGGTATATATTTTTAAGTGTTAAAAGACTTAAAAAACTTGTAACTATAACTAAGTATCAACATTGTCAAACCAGCCCAAAGAAACTTGGCATCTGTCTGCCTCCTCTTTTCATAGGCCAAAGTAGATTCAGGGTCCCAGAACTCGATTCTCAATTGAAACCGAATTCAAAGTGGTCAATAATTACCAGGAGTTTTTCGCGTGACTAACACAAATTGGATGATTACCCTTTTGAACCAAACTCACATGAACTAATTTTATTAGGTTACTCCATCTTACTAAGTTCTGTTTTTCAATACATATCGCATTAAAAAAATGTGAAATTTTGATTACGAAAATCAGTAAAAGCACCATTAATTAATTAGTATAAAAGAAGTTTTTTTAAAATACTTTAATAATTTTATTATTTAAACTATATTTTATTATACAATTTTGATTTTTAAAAAAATCTGCCATTTATGACACCCAATACAACATCTCGGCTGTGTAGCAAATTAATGTCAAGGTACAGTCCAAAACAATCTCAACTCCAAAGGAGGCAAATAACGAAGCCATATCATTATCATCCACTACCACCCGCAAGAGAGGAAAAATAATTCCACCCACCCACAATGTCAAATACCGTACGTAGAGAATTGGTCATTAATGCTTGTTGAGGAATATCCATAAACACTCATCAATTTATTGACTTCTTTATTTTTTTTGTCTAATATATTTTTATGGTATAAATTAAAAATATATTAGATATATTTTTTATTATTAATTTATATATAAAAATTATAAAAATAAATTTTATTTTTAATATTAATGTCACATAAAATATTTTAATTAAAATATTGATAAAAGTAAAGTTAGTTTTTATTTTTATATAAATTAATAATAAAAAAAAACATAAAATATTTTTCAGGGTACAAATGCCTATTGTCATCACCACCAATTTTTTCCAAACAGTTCAAATTTCAACCAAGGTTTATGTAGCCTCAGTGGAGACTTGCCAGGAAGGCAAGAAGTTTGTCCAATTATACTGCTTAAGAAATCCAAGAATTTTGACATATATTACTAATTATAACATACTATCATTTCAATTGTTAGATTTATAAATCAATAAATAATAATTTATGTAGACTTACAAGTATATTCTTTTAAGAAATGCTTTTGTGATTAAAAACTTGAATTCTCATATATTAAAGATCTTAAATTCAAATTTTGAAATTGATAAGGAGAGGTTTGAGAAAATGAGAATTATTTCTTATTATTTAATTTATCATTTGACATTTATATATATATATAGACCTAAATGTATAGTGAATTCTAACCTTCTAAAAAAATTGGTTTTAAAATAGTTTTAGGCATTAAGGGTAGCTAGCTACTAAGAAGGCCTGGTTACCACAAAGGAATTGGATTAGTGGGCAAAAGGAGGCTTTAGAGTTGAAAAGGTTGGAGATGAGTATGAGTTAGTGGAGCCTCTTACTATCACAAAAGTGATGGCTTAGTGGAGAAAAAGCAGGATTTGGAGTTGAAAAGCAGTTGAGGATGAGTAATGAGTTAGTGGAGCCTAGCATGCAACCAAAAAGCAAACATCACTCCAATAATCATAATCTGTACTATATAGAAGTAAAACAAACTACCTCCAGCAACATTTATCTAAAATATTATCTTAAAACCTCACAGAAATCTACTGTCCCTCTTCTCTGACCACAACAACATTATCTAGATCAATTATCCCAACTGAGAGTACTATTTTTTTGGAAAACTTTCAGGGCGTTTTTGGGAAAGAAAAGGTTACTTAAGTACAAATAATCGGGAAGCTTTTTGAACAAAGATAATACCACTTGCTAAAATTCTACTGGCCGAGGTGACCTATTAAAAGTGTTTGCATCCACAACTCCTGTAACTTGCATTTTCAAATATAGTTCACATCTTTACTTCTGGAACCAACTTAAGGGAATTCCTTTGGATAATTAATGAATGAACAGATAATGATGATTTACACCATTATCTCTCGAAGTCTCCTTTTTATATTCCCCGCTCCTCATATATTCATCAGCTATTTAATCTCCTCATAGCCTGAGGGTTTCCCCACTAGCTTTTGAGGGAAGCCCATCGCGTTTATAACGAAACCCCAGTTGCCTATCGGTTTCTTGAAAACTGATAGGCAACCATCTCCGTCGGCGGCCTGGATGGGCTCTCGACAAAGCCTTGAGTGGAGGAGAGACCGAGAGATTCTTGAGTATCACGGTTATTACTTGTTTGATATAGTAGCGTGATGTTTAAGACAACAAAGATATGTGGGGTTGGGATTTCCCTCCACCGCCATCGCCCCCTCCTTCAAGAATTTAAAACAGTTTGCCTGTACTTGCTGCCACCGTCTTCGGTTGATCGCCGCGTGCTAAGAGAAGAATAACGTGTAACTTGGATCGGAGATTTTGGCAGCTAATGTCTGGCGAACCGGCAAGTCACGGAACGGCATCAAATGGACTCCATCTTGAGTCTTTTATGGCTATATATGTATCACTTTTCTTTCTTCTACCATACTAATGTTGTTGTTATAATAGTTTTTGCATGCAATTAATGTAATAAAAGGTTGTGTTCTCCACCGCCGGCCGACCGAGTGAAGTGTGTTCTTGTTTTCCGGTTTCCATTTAATGATTAAAGTGTCTTTGTGGCTTTGTACTTTGTAAAAATGTTCATTCTAGTCCTTATACTTCACCTTCTGCATATTTATGTCAGTCTTTTTTGGCAGAGTTATCCAACATTGGGACAGCTTTCCAGTCCCTGGATTCATATTTAGAGACATAACATGGAAGATAAGTTTTTAATCACTAAGACAACTCTTTATTTTATGTCATTCTATTTTGTAGGGAGGGAGATTGAATACACATTTTCAAGAAAGATCACAAGGAACAAGAATCTAGTAAAACTAGAAATGGAGCAGAGAAACGTTTCTTTATACTAGGACATATAAGAGCAGAATATGGTCCAAACTAACAATGAAAATGCATTTCATTTATTCATTCTTCTTGAAGTGAATCAAACAACATTTTTAATAATCAGAAATATAAAATATAATTGTTAATTCACAACTTAGGATTGCTTTCTTTATATCAGCAGTCCATTCACGGTAAAAGTCAAAGAACACATACAAGTTACAGGATATTCAGAAAGAATAACAAATTGTAAGGAGAGTGCATGGTTGTGTGCAAGATCATGCTTGATTACCCCAAACTCCCATTCCGGCTTTTAAAAGGGAAGCATATAGCAGCTCATTCCAGGTATCGGGTACTCCAGGCAAGCACCAGTGGCTGCAATCTTGAGAGCGCACAGCTGCAATCGACTCTTCTGGTGTCTTGTATTGTCTTCTGTAAATAGCAGGATGTGCGTCTTTCCTGTAATCTGTAAGCCTGCTTACGTTCAGGTACATAATTGGGGTATTTGCTTTTCGAATCACGCTTTCTAGAGCTCTCATTTTTGAAGGGTACTTTGTTAAGTGATTTTCATCGGTGATTGGCTCAGTTTCCTCGTGACATTTTCCTCCAGAGTTCCACTGGCCTCCCCTGCAACCACATCAAGAAAATTTCTGACACTGAATGCTTCTCAAAGGGAAGAAAAGATTAGGATCTAGCTTTAAGTAACACTCAACAATGCACATAATTTTAAGCAAAATAATGTTTGCCATTTTTGAACCTCATTGTTTAGAAAAGATAAGAGAATACGAAATAAGAATTAAGCCATGAGCAACGGACGGTATGTTCGATTCTGATTACAAGTGGAAAGGTAAAAAAATGAAGCAAGTACAAAAATGCCATACTGGAAATGGGTGACAGAATATCCTCTGTAGAGAACTTGGGTTTGAGTGCTATCAACGTTCTGGTCTACCCATCTAGCCCAGGTACGGAGAGCCTTTTGAAATGCTTTGAGAACTTTGAGCCTTGGGTAAACGTAGTCACCTTCTTGGTAGTAGTCTTCCCTGCAACATCAAAATTGCCTGGAACTTATGTAACCATCTCACTTATACTTTGGCAACATAAACAAAGGTACAAAACATTCTCTTTAAATTGAAATTTTTTGGGGCAAATTAAGCAAGAAGCTCATCTGATATCCGAAAGCAAGGTATGCCAGATATCAAAGCTAGCTAGTAGTAGAAAAACCAGATGATTCTCACCCTTTGGAAGTTTTTTCATGTGTCCACCAATGACCAGTATTGAACACCATTACTTCGGCATCATGATACATTGAAGTCGATGGATCCATCAAGTCTAATCTTAGCGTCTCAATTGTCTCATTTTCACGCTGAAATGTTGATTCTTTGACAAGAAATGGGGCAGCAACAAAATCGACCGAGCAATTGTAGTCCTGCAATGCAGCAAGTAGCTGGCCTGTTGAGATGAACCTTAAATGTGAATTTTGTAACCAAAGCAGGATATACCAAAACTTGCCTCAAATCTGAAAGCATAAATGCCCTTCTTTTTGAAATCACTCCGTCCAGAAATCTCATAAACTCTATTCTTGTCTGCGACACTATGCCGGAGGATACACACCAAGGACTCCCACATGTTCCTATTCAGAGAATCCCCCACAAAAACCAGCCTCCTTCCCCTCAATCTCTCCAGAAAATGAGTTGCATTCAGCCTGGATGGCATGTAAAAGAGTTGCTAGTCAATTGACATTGTTAAGATATAAACACAATAATTCAGATCATATTCACACTTATTGTAAATATTTTATATTTTGAAATGTTTCCTTTGCATACTTTATACCTAAGAATATTCTATTTGTAAACATCTATATATAATTTATTGTACATATAAGATTATTTAAGAAAGCAATAAACATTTCTTCACATATCTCTTCTTTTTCTAACAGACATAAAACAATCAAAGCTTCATTGAGAGGTTAGAAAAAGAAAGTTCAATCATTTTTGTAAAAGATAACCTTAATCTAATAAATTTAAAGTTAAATGCTACAAAAGCAGAGTATTCACCCTAGTCTGTGGTCCAAAGATACATTTAATTAATGATTGTGCAATATTAAATTGCATTTAATCAATGATTGTGCAAAATATTAAATTACATTTAATTAATGATTGTGCAATATTGAGTGCAGCAACTTTCACACATTTCAGTGCCTTAATAACTGATCTATCCGTCAATTTTTTTCAAGGAAAATTGAATTAAATTTTTTGTTCCCATTCGCTATGAATCATCATGTACGGAATTCCCTTACAGAATTGCATGCAACTAAAAATGTACCTTCTATTCAAAATAAATTAAAAACTACAACAAAAAAGGAAAATAGGCAAAGTGAGATTGATATTACCTTGCTACATCACAACCATTTGGCTGCCATTTCCACTTAATATATCCATCATCAGGCCTTCCATTGCGCTGGCAATCGAAATCCTTATCAACGTAAGGACATGACCCTGGAGGATAATATGGATCTGAATCATCCCTCACCCATTTGCCATCAAAGAAATCACAATCCTCATAAGAACCCTTACTAACTTTCCCAACTTGAGGATCCCCATCAGCGTTTGGGGTTTTGTTTTCGTCAACTGCATTCCCTTGTTTGTTCACCTCCGCAGCCTTTTCTTCTGCACCGGGAAACCCACCATCTCCATTATTTTGCAATTTTCCTGCTTCCTTATTTTCTGTGATCCTAGTAACAACATTTCTCGGGTTTTCTTCAGATTTTCCTTCAGAGGCTTTAGTTGCATTTTTATTTTCACCCATTAGGCTTCCATCATCTACTACCTCAGTAAAATTCCCCAATTGGATCTCAGCTAAAATTTCTTCATCTGTAATGAGAGAATCTAATCCCACATTTGACCCATTGCTCATCTGTTCAATCCCGCCACCCCCACCTCCTCCTCCCTCATCCACCCCAAAGCTCCCATTTTTAACCCCATCACTGAAATTCCCCAAATGCACGTCCTCTAAAACCACCCCACCTCCATTATCCTCCATGAAATCTTGCTTTTCACCCGCCTCAGACACATTCACTTCTCCATTCCCCACCAGAATGCCCGGAAAGCTCTGCAATTGCACTGCCCCAGCAGCATTTCCGGCAGAACTAGAAGCTGAAGGCGAAGGAGGAGCGGAATGCCGTGAAACAGTACCATCACTAACACTATAAACCCCCTGAAACAGCGACCCCCCCGCAGAACCCTTAAGTGAACTATTAAGTAGCAGCCCCGTTAACACAATCAGACACGCCACCACCGCCCACCCAACTCTCGAAAACACGTTCCCTCTCGACAGAAGCTGCTCTGGAAGCACATTTTTCTTAAAACACATGGCACCCCAGAACCCAAAAAACAGAATTAAAGCCGCAAATTTTGAGAAAATCCAATTTATGGGTCTATCTCTATTCTTTTCAATGAGAGTTGCAGAATGAGATAGGTTAACATGGTGGGTGGAAAATGGGTGTAATATACAATGAATCTAATCCATCAGCGTCGATGAAGATGACGTTTTTGTGCTGTTTCGAAGAGGTACAAGGAGAGGTTTAAGGGAGGGTTGAAGCACAGAGAAGTGGAACGGAGTATTTTACGAAAAAGTCCTGTTTTGGGTTTTATTTTCTTTTAATATTTTAAATAATAAATTATATAATAAAAACCAACCATTCTCTTTCTTTAATTCTTTTTATTTATTTTAAAATT